TATTACAACAAGAAAATAATAAGTCTAAAAGAGAGATTTTATAGAATTTTCAGATGTTGTAAAGAAATTTAACAAAAAAAATCGATATTAATTATTATTTAAAGAGTGTGATAAATCTTTACATATACTTTATAAATTATAATAATAGATATCAGCTTAAAAATGGTGCTGCAACTAGTTGCAACCATGTAATACTTATTTGTTACTGGTTGCAACTAGTTGCAACTCAATTTTTATTAATGTTGCAATTAGTTGCAACCCTGTAATACTTATTTGTCACTAGTTACAACTAGTTACAGCGCTATCTTTATATCAGCTATTAACTGAAACTATATTAGAAGTCTTAAAAAAATTAAAAGATGATAATATAAATGAAGATGAAATAGATAAAATTGAAGTAAATAAAAATAAAGTGAATAAAGATAAAGTATCATATATAAATGATAACTTAACACAAAAATCAGAAAAAATTAAAGTTATCATTGCTCATCTTTGGAAAAAGTTAGTATTATGTGAAAAATTATATGATACTACTTATGTTAACAAAGTAATAATATATATCTAAATATGCTAACAATATTTATTACAAATCTTACCTTAATACGCTAGTTAAACAAGAAAAATCCATCTGTTTAAAGCTAATAATATTACTTATAGAAATTTCTAAAAAAAATATAAGATGCAGAGAAAAAAAATATAAATTAGTTACTAAGATTAGTAAGCGCAAATTAAAAAAGTCCTAAAGGAACTAAGTTATGAGTTTAGAAAATATATATTATTATGTTATCTAGAAAATAAATGTGAATTACTAGCTAATTTTCAAAATATATAATATAAAGTAGTTAGTCTAGAAATTACATGCTATTAAGCGTTATTAAAGTTATAAGATGATAAAAAAATAATTTATCTAAAGCGGATATAGACAAAATTATTAAATTATATTGTTAAATATTTTAGCAAAGATGTAACAATTTCAGCTAAGAAAATTATAATATTATTTATATATTTTTTATGTAATAATAATAGTTAACTTCAATTTTACTTTTAATTCTGAATCATTTTTAGAAAAAGAGAAGTTTTTAACCTCTTTTCTGCTTATCAGTGATAATAATGTAAGAAATCTGTTTTTTTATGCATTCCATAAGTTTTTTTTAACTACAATTCAAATAATTGTAAAAAGTAATAAGATAAGTATAGAATATGTTATTATTAGTGACATTAAGAAACTTGCAATAATAAGAGTAACTATTAGCAAAGTTGCTACTTCTGCATCACTTAATGAATCTAATATTAATTATTTATTATAAGAATTAGTATCTCTTCTTAATGAACTTCTTTCTGATCATTCTTTATAGAATTAGAAAAAGTTGTGATAAATCATTCATAAAAAAAGATTCATTCTTAACTGATCTTTTTAAAACTGCTTCATTATCTTTTTTTGATACTAACTCTCAGAGATGAGTAATTACCTTTATTAATTTTGATTGTATTAAAAATAAAGCATCTATTATTCATTTATATATATTAGTTGATGATTTCATATATTTTATTTCACATTTTTTTGAATTTAAATCTTCTTTTACCATTTTAATTCAAATCTAAGAGAATCAATATTATTTTAGTAAACTTATTCATTTCAGATAAGTTTATTTAGAATGATTTTTCTAATAACCCTCTCACTATATTAGAATCATGAAGCACTTAATCCAGTTTCAAGTTCTTTAACTTACTTTTTAATTTATTTACCTTAATTTCAAAAGTAAGAATCTTGATCTTGTCAGAAAATAAAACTTTTTAGATCAAAGTTACTTCTTTCTTTAATAATTTAATTGAAGATTTTAGTGATTTTATTTCAACTTTAAGCTTCATACAGGATGTTCTTTCAGAAGTAATTTGAAAACATAGCTTAATATTAAATATATTTATCTAGCTAATTTATTATTAATATTTACATAAGTACAGTAAAAATTAAAATCTTTTTTTAAAAGATTAGTCAACAACTTTTATTAAGATTATTAATTTCAGCTTTAGATTTAAGAGTTATATATAATTTTTCTTTGAGTTTTTGCTCATACATATTATCAAGCTGATGACCTTTATTATTGATATCTTTTAAGATATATATATTGATCATAGCCTTTTTTTCAGCTTAATGCTCAAATAGAAAAATAAAGTAATTAAATATAAGAAATACTGATAAAAAAATTAAAAGCATATATGAATTATATGCTGAACTTTTCTCACCTTTTTCTTTACTTTAGACTCAAAAAAAGTTTAAACATATAATAATAAAGAATATGTATCACTGTCTAAACTTTTTTGAATAAAATAATAGACCTTATTCTAAAATATTTTTCCTTTTTACCCTGAAAAATTTATTTTTGAAAGAGCAAATGCATGTATAATTATTTTGCCTAAGCCATTATACAAGTGAAATTTCCAAGAATAGTGCATAATACATACTCCTGATACTTTTAATATTTCTAATACACTATATAGTACTGTTATTTCATATAGTATTAATTTTTTATGCATATTTTTTTATTAATACTATGGATGGTTCCCATAGAATAAATAGAACTAATTCTTCTGGTACTTTGTAAAATAGTAGTTCTCTGTAAAATTTTAATTGTATATGTAATACACATAATACATATAGTTTACATAGTATTAATAATTTTTGTATGCATTTTTTATTAATAGTATGAAAATCTGATAGACTATTAATATAGTAATCTATCATCAAAAAGATATATACATTCTAATATTACAAAATTATCTACTGTAGATTACGAAGACATTATACAATACCAGGATATAAAATTTAAGTCTCTAGAATAATTAAAAATAAAATTTCAAAACTGACTTTTAATTTAAAAATAATAGAAATTAGGGATTATTTATGAATTAAAAACTGATTTAAAAATAGAAACAAACTTATGCAAATATGTGATTTATCTAATAATTTTCTTAGAAGAATACTAGAGAGATAATAAAATTCATCATTAGGAATCCTATCCTTTCATATCTTCTGTTATGATAGTAATAACCTCTATCACGTTCATCATATTCATTATATTTACTATATCTATTATTATTAATTGAATTAGAATCACCATTATTTGCATTAATAGAGCCTGAAGAATTAAAGTCATAAAATATAGGAATAGATGAAGTTAATTCACTTACCTCAGCTAAAACTGCTTTTAATACATTTAGACAAGAAGTTAATGATTTAGCCAGAATATTTACTTTAATTTTTAAAGAAATATGAATTGATTATGTCAGATTTGTCACAGTTTTTGAAGTCACATAATCTATTATATTTTGAATTTAAGCATTAGTTAATCCTGAAGTACTACTTATATTACATGTAATCTGCTTGATTTTAGTTATACCTATTTCCTTTTCCCAAATAATTTAAGAATCTTTCAGATTCTCTGAGTATTTTTACATAAATTTGCATCTGTGATATAAGATAAAAAAGTTTATTTCTTTATTCATGCTGTTTTATTCTTAATAATTTCATTAACTATAAGACTTTTGATCCTATTTTCAAATTTAAGAGAATAGTAATACCAACATAAAATTTTTCTTGACACTTTTTAACACTTTATCAAACAAATATGATAACCTTTTGCAGAGTCTAAAATTAAGTTTTCTATATCTTGAATACAAAATTTATTAATTTTATCATTCAAGGATATGGAATCATTTTGATAGAATAATTCACATTGATTTTAATCAATTCATGAATTAGTCCTTATTCTATAATTTGATTTATATCAACTATATTATCATCCTATACCAATCTATATATTTTATAGATATTTGTATATACATAATCTGATTGTGATAAATTGTTACAGTTTTCTCAAAACTTTCTGAAATTATCTGATCATTCTTTGAGTTAAAAATAACTGAATCCTAAACAATCAAATCATGTTGAAGTTCTTCTTCTTATTGCATTACCTTATTTTATCATCAATGCTTTTCTAATATGCTTTATTCAAGAATTTATCCATCTCTCTTTCCTCTAATAATTTAAGTTGACTTCTGATAATGCTTCTGATATCATATCATTTGCTTTACAAATAGGTGTATATTACTTAAGCTGACCTACTACAGAATCAGATACATCAACAGCGTATATTTCTGATATCACTTCTGTGACTGTTCTCTCACTATCAAGAATTCCAATTCTATTATCACAAGTTTTCTGACTCTAGATTTGAGTTCAGTATTTTCAGCATCACATATCTTATTCTCTTTCACACTTTGTTTTAGAAGCTTAACAACCCTAGTCTTATGTTCAGTTCTCTCAGCCTCAATCTCAACAAATTTCCTTCTAAGATCAGGGATCTCAGTATTCTCCTTAAGCTCATTATTCTCAAATTTAATCTCAGCAAACTTCTTCTTAAGTTCAGCGATCTCAGCTAAGAGCTTGGCATTTAATTCTCTCAATAAATCAGTGGATTGCATGTTTGATAATAAAAAAATTTTATTAATATTAATATATATAATTGTGAAATCGATCACCAGGGTCAACTTTATTATAATACAAAAATAAAATATAATTATGAAAGAATTGGTTTATCTATAATTTCGCAGAACTTGCCAGTGATATCCTGAAATTTAGTACTTATCTTCACATTTATGAACTCTTTATCATGCCAGAAGTGGATGACATTTAATTCCCTTTTCTGAAGTTTTTTAGAAGGCCAATATGGGTCAGTAATAATGAAATCTTCATGAGAAAAGTATACAATCCAAACTTCTTTAGGGCAAAATAATCAGCATACTTAAAGACTTGATTGAAGTATGCATTTAATTTCGAGACTGATACCATTGTTAAGAGTTCAAGAAGTGCTTCAGGATGGGTTCTTTATCGTCAAATCACAGTAGCAATGATGATAATCACCATCATCACAAACCTGCTCAATATGCCACTGGTCAGTAATTTTATAACCATGGATCTTTCTCAGCCAATTTATTAGTACTCAGTATATTTTAGCATCATAGATGCTCTCACTAGGAACTTTAAGATAATGCTCAGAATTTACATACATGTGGTTTGAACTTTTATATAAGCGAGAAGAATCTAGCACTATTATACTTTGGTCGAAGTCACGAATTGCAATCTTTAAACCTTCTAAAATGTCTATGAATCTATCATTTTGTAACGAGATACTATAGAAATATTAAAGATTTTGCCAATACTTTATTTTTTAGTGAGAATAGAGGGCACTAATAGATCTGGGTTCACTAAAGTGCATTCCTCTTACTTATTAAAAATATCATCTAAAGGTTTACGAACTTTTTTCCCATTGACTTGTATAAACTATTAAAAAATAAGTTTACCCAGAATACGAAAAATACTTAGTATACTTTTATTAAAAAGAAGGTACATAACTGATTCCTCCTCCAGAATCAGTAAACCTTTATCAAAAAATATCCTCACTACATGATTATGCTAAAGTACTACAATAACTGAGGGCTTACATATTCCTAAGCAAAAGCTTCTTGTACTTAACATATCATATCTGAAAAATACGTGTTAGGGTTATAAAATAAAAACTTATCTTTTTCATAAGTAAAAGATTTTTAACAGCTCCAAAAACCTCTTGCGAAGTGTTCAGATCATCTTGAAAAATATATAAAGTGTTATAAAACAATATATGTATCTCATTCCTTTCGATAGGACTAAATATGCTAGTAATCCAGAAGGTGATATACTAAATAGACTATACGTTGCATAGAAAGAATCAGAAATATTTCTATTTTGTCCTTCTTGAGAAATAACTTTCACCCGTTCCTTAAATATCCTAGCTTGCTTATTAAGCTTTATAGCGGATCCTCGTTTTATACCATCTTTCATGAACTTTTTTTCAGTTATATCTAAGAATACATGACTATCTATCTTTTGCTTGCGATAATTTCAAAGTCATCCTCATCAAGGTTTAAATTTTTTGTTCATACAAAAAAGTAAGAGTTAAGTATTCCAGTTTTCAGTCAAGGTGATTACAGTAATAGTGGAAGAAGACATGGTAATTTTCTGGTTAAATATGAACGCAAAAAAGTGAAAAGATAAGTAATATACATATCAAACTTATCCTCTAGTCTTTTTATAAAAATAAAGCAATAGAAGAAGACATGTTAAATTATTCCTTTTGGTTAAGTGTTATTTTTATGTAATCAGCTCGAGAGCTAACCTAGGATAGATAAGTCACATATAATCTGCAGGTGATATTATTTCACTAGGTGACTATGTATGCATTGTATTATGAAAAATTCATGTAAAAAAGCTTGGCAAAAACCTGTTATTCTCAGTATGCGAGAAAGAGTTTTAGGAATCTAAAACATAACATAGATTTGGTAGTATTATTATTCAATTAATCATTTTATTGATCATTATCGTTATATTTTTTAGGTTTACAATGATATCCTGACACTCAGAATTCTGATAGTCCAGAATCCTGACTCCAAATTTCTGACATACCCAAAATCTGATAGTCCATAATCCTGATAGTTTTCAATTCTGAATGAATATAATCTTGACTGCCAAAATTCTGACATTATAAATCCTAATTCAATGCAATAAAAATAATAAACTAACCTTACCCTTTCTAATCCTAATTCAATACAATAAAAAAAATAAATAAACCTTACCCTAATCCTGATTCTAATCTTGATCTAATCCTAATCCTAATTCTAAAACTAATTAGTTTAGTATATTAAAAAATATAGTCAGGATTCTGACAGTCAGTATTATATTCATTCAGGGTTGAAGACCATCGGGATTATAGACTATCAGAATTTTAGATATGTTAGGAATTTGGAGTTAGAATTCTGGACTATCAGGATTCTGGATGTCAGAATATTTGTAGGATCCTATATTTTTTAGCTTTAATATAATTATGATGCTAATTTATTCACAGTTCATTACGTTGCTCATTTAAATCATATTGCATAAAAGCAAACCCTTCTTGCTTACACCGCTATCCTCTTCAATAAAATTTTTTCTTATTCATAAAAATGTCTCTTGAGTGGAATACGAACAAACCCACATCCTCATTGATGAATATTAAAATGGTAATGGGGAATATCACTGAATTCCTAAATGCAATAAGAGAATCTTCTGAAAAAAAATAGCAGAGAAGCTCAACGAAGTTAATAATTTAAATTACTTTATCAGAAAAGCTTGCAACAAAAAATTTTTAATTTTATCTTGTGCATATTATGTAAGTATATGGTTTATTTGCTTTGCAGATATTAACCGTCTCTAATCTAATACCTTTGTTTACTTAGATGACTAAAATCTATTATGAAGGAACTAAAAGTAAGAGGAGTCTTGTCGGTAAATGATATTACGAGAAATTCTTCACAGAATTCTGAAAAGAATCCAGTAATTAGTTTTGTGATATTCTTTCTCCTCAAAACCTTTAATTGAGGGATATTTATTGTTTTTAGAAACACAATGTCCTAATGTAGGAGCATCATCATTATTCTTGACAGCTGTAAGAGTAATGATTAAATAAATGAGTCTAAATTATGTCTATATTTATTGCTGTTCTATATTGCTGACATTGGATATTCTATTTCCTTTGATATATTTAGTTTAGTTTATTTTATTATTTATTCAATATGTATAAATATCTCTGTATTTTCTTTTAAGTCTCAGCACTGATGAGATGTTAATCTTTTAGGTACTGAACTTATATATTATATTAATAAAGGAGTATAATTAATCAAGTATAAAACTTATTCTTCACAAACCCTTTGAAACTGTTATAATTATCTGTGACCCTTTGCATTCATGCAATTCCTTTAATTATTATTAGTGAACTTATTATATGATATTATATTGATTCACTATATTGACTTTGAGTCTCTAAAGCATAATCTCTAAAATATCTTTGAGTTATCTTTGTGTTTATTTTGTGTTTATCTCATGTGCTTTATATTAAGAATAATTCTTTGACATTATTGTAAATCCTTACCCGTGATTCTTTGAGTAATTGTCTTAGTTTTATTTATCTTTTTGAGATTCTATTTGAAGTTACAAAACCATCGTAATATTTTAGTACTCCTTATAAGAAACGAAAACAATAATCAAAAATTATCAATATGATTGGAATCAAGATATTGTATTGAAAGTATTGTATTGATTTTAAGATGTAAATCTCTGAAACATTTTTCTTTAAAATATTATTGAATTCTTTGAGTTAATTCAACTGGTTGAATTATAGATTGATTGATAATTTAGTTAGAATTATATATTTTATTGGAAACTTGAATACATATTTTATAATTTAGTATTATGTAAGCTATTATTACAAAATTTATCAATTCAGTAATTAAAGAAGAATGATAAAAGGAAAACTCTACAAAGAAGTAGCCTAAGTAATATTAAAGTAAGCCTTTAATTGTGAAATAAATTTTATTTAAATGATCATAATATGAGAACTTATAAAATTGAAGAAGTCAAATCACATGATATATTATGCGATATGACATCATTTAATAAAATGTCTGAAAAAGGAAACACAAGAGGAAAAGAAGATGATAAAAATATGAAAGGACCATTCTCTAAAGACCTTGTAAAGGATGTCAAATGTTAAAGAATTGAAGATATTCTTGAAAAGATAATTTAAGTTTATTAAGACACTTTTGTAAAAAATAATGAATCTAACGCAGATGATGAACTAACATATTCTTATGATACTATAATTCACATATATTATGACAAAATCCTGAAACTATTAAAATGAAATTGAAAATTAGTTAATAAGAAAATGAAGTTCAACCTATAATGAACAAAATTACTGTGCCACTAATTTTCAGATGCTTTTATAAAAAATAACAAAGTTCTGGAGATGATTTTCTCATGATCTACTAATCAGAAATTCGAAAAATTAATATTAACGTATTCATCGAGTTAAGAGCTTCATGATAGTATAAATTTTATTCTGAACGGATCACTGGATGCTAAGATAATTGAAGAAATGCAATTATTTATTATTAATTTTGAGAAATAGAACATGAAATACTTTGAATTCAAAAATCTTTGAAAATAGAATGGGATCTTTATTTTGAAAAATTAATTAAATTATTTTGATCATGTGAAATAATAACATATAATGGATTATAAGAAGGATATAAGAAAATTTCAGCGAAGAATTAAAGATGATCATGTGAGAAATTGAACCTCATACATTATGATGCATAAGAGACTAATTTGAATTAAATCTGAGTACTGGTATCACTAAACTTCAAAGTTTATTTGACTATGCTAAGAACATATCATATAGATTACAGTAGATATTAGAAACAGTTTTATGCAAATATGTGATAAACCTAGAATAATATGATCTAATGATGAAAAGAAATTTTAAGTGAAAACAGAAATGATGAAATACAAATTATTACTAAGAAAAATAAAAGGGCAAAGATGCAACAATGTGTAAAATTTTATTAAATAATTGAGAAATACAAGTTTTAAAATATACAAAAAGGAGAAAAAAAATAATCTATTTCAATAAATTTTCTGCATGAAGCTGATCAAGTACATAGTTATAATCGCTATTAAGTTATTTGACTGATCAATTTAATGTTCAAATTCTTTCATAATCTTACTGATGACCGTTCTCTTAAAAAAAAAGTAATTTTTCTTTACGTCGATTATATACTTCTTTGAGATGATTAAACCTACTTTGCTATCAGATTTATTTTTTTTTGATATTATTATACAATTATTATATCATGTATATAATTAAAATATCAATATAAATATATATATTATCATGTATGTTAATAAGGATATTAATAGGATTTTTTATAAATTTAAATTATAATATTAATATTATATATAATTACAAAAAAATATTCATCAAATATTACATTATTATCTTTTTTTAACATATATATTTGCATAGATAAGATGATAATTTCATGTATTATAATAGCATTATATTAAATATGTTGTATAAAATTTGCAAAAATATGCATTACACTATAAATAGTTAAGTATATCAGTAAATCTATCTGCGTAATCTGCGTACACGACGTCTTTATATTACTATTGACATATCAATTTGGTTGGATGCATTTTTTGGGTTGAGTTCAGAATAATCAGATTATTGGTTAAATGATCTAATTCTTTTACTTGTTATAACGTATGATGATTATCCATATTAGGGTTGGCTAAACAGGATACTTCATGTGTTAAATGTAAAATAAAAGCTTGTTTTAAAAATATCTTTAAAGGGTCAATAATGGTTAAATCATCAAATAATTCATCTTCTTTAATAATGACCAATTGTGTAAAAAGATATCTTTAAAAAGGTCATCAGTAATATATAATGATATTACATCTTCATTTGGTATCTTATCAATACTTGAAATACTATTGAAATAGTTTAATAATAATTTAATTATAATTTATACACAGTGATTGAAAAAATATACCTATTAATCTTCATGTATTCCTTTGCATAAAAACAAAGATCATTATTAAATCGGGAACGGTATTGTACCATATATTTCAATTCACGTCCTTTTAAAAATTTGATATTTTCATTATTTTTTCCTTGATCAGGTAGCAGGATTTTTACAATAGTTATAATCACAGCAGAATCAGGATTTTAGCTCCTTAAGAACAAGACTTTCATTTCTTCACACATATTAGAGATATGCTCACTAGTAACCTAGATTAAGCAAAATTTAATAGAAAATATAATAAATATAACTATTACAAAGATATATATATAATAAATATGAACTTACTCTGATAATTTCTTTATTAGACATATTAGACATGTGTTCTCTTGTTGACCTTATTGTTAAATTTTTTTCAGGTGAGAAATGACGAATTTGATT